TGGAGACATTAGGCTACCAGAGGTAACTGAAGCCAGTGGCAGGATGAGAAAATGTAGGGAGAAAATATAAGGTAAAAAAGAGCAGAATCCCTACATCTGAGCTATGAAGAACTCCAATATTTCTAGCTGGACAAAAGATAATTAGTGCATGAGGAAAATGGGGTAAGAGAAGTAGGCTGAAACAGAATTAAAACCTAAAAACCAGGGGAGAGTGTTTTGAGAAGCTGTAAGTGATTAACAGGGTCAACATCTGAGAACCATGTTAAAGAAGAACAGAAAAACGTCTACTAACTCTAATGACATAGAGTACCATTAGTGAGGATTTTTCACTGTAAAGTGAAATGGGATATTAAGTTAATTAAAAAAAAGACAGACAGTAAATTCTGACAGTTCTTTGAAAAACTTCCTGTGACACTGAGGAAGGTAGAAAGGTGTTATAACAAGAGAATCTTAGTTTCAAGGTAGGAAATTTGAATAGGTCATATTGAGCATGTTTTAGCAGTACTCTTGGATGGAAAGGCAGTAAAAAAAATCCTTTGATGTGAAAAAATCATGGATACACATGAAGACTTACTTAAAAAATTTTTTTAATTGTATGAAAAGACAAAAGTTACTTTTTTAAAGTCTAGGAGCAACCTTTTGAACTTATTCCAAGAACTGGAGAAGACAAAATATAACAAATTTGGAAAAAAAATGTAAATAAACGTATAATTTATTAGGGAAATACTATCACAATTTTTTCTCAGTGTTGATATAACACAGTAGCAAGATGGTCAAGTGCTGTGAAGCAAATGGCTAGGCAATGGTTAAATCTAAAATGATAATTTTAATGTATTTACCACTAAGTCTACCTCATACTTTGTAGGAAACCTTATTACAACCTCAGCATAATTTATTAGCCATGCTTATGAAGCTCTTCCACTATTAAAGTTTTCCAAAAAAAGAAAAAGTCTTCCTCCGAAATATTCATCAGAATGAATGAATGCATCTTGGGGTTTGGTGTTCATAACATGATAGAGTGCACTAAAAGTCAAAATCCCATACATATAAGTATATATTTATCTTCTATCTAAAAATATTTGCAAGTTTTCATTTGACTCCACATGACTTTTTTTTTTAATATAAACTCGTGGGGAGATAAGAAAGAACTTTTTAGCACAAGTCCTCTTGTAAAAACATTAACAAGTATGCATGCATGAGAATACAGTCATAAGAGCTAAGGAAGTCAGACAGATACACACACACATATATATATACACCACATATATATATCAAACCCTCACACTGCATATAATACGTACAATTTTTGGGGGGTCAATTATACCTTAATGGAGTAGGGAGCATAAATTAAAAGTGGGTTGGTTAACAATAATTAAATTGCTAACTTTTTTGTATCACCAAGAATTGCTTTAGGAAGATACTGTGGCTTTGCCACATACCATCTTATATTCTCTCTCTGTAACTCTGCCTTTTGAATGAATAAATAAATAAATAAATAAATAAATCTTAAAAGAAAAAACTACTGTAGGTTAGCATTTTTTTTCTTCTTTCATATTTGTTATGTTTTTTTCCCCGACAGGCAGAGTGGACAGTGAGAGAGAGAGACAGAGAGAAAGGTCTTCCTTTGCCGTTGGTTCACCCTCCAATGGCTGCCGTGGCACCGCGCTGATCCGAAGCCAGGAGCCAGGTGCTTCTCCTGGTCTCCCATGGGGTGCAGGGCCCAAGCACTTGGGCCATCCTCCACTGCACTCCCTGGCCACAGCAGAGAGCTGGCCTGGAAGAGGGGCAACCGGGACAGAATCCGGCGCCCCGACCGACTAGAACCTGGTGTGCCGGTGCTGCAAAGCGGAGGATTAGCCTAGTGAGCTGCGGCACCAGCCTAGTTAGCATTTCAATTCCAATACTTCCAGTTCCTATAGATAGGAAAGATGAAGTTGATCACAATATTAACTATTATTCATAGACATATCCAACAAATGTCCTTATTTATACTTTTTTTTTTTTGGTTTTGTTTTGTTTTTTTTTTGACAGGCAGAGTGGACAGTGAGAGAGAGAGACAGAGAGAAAGGTCTTCCTTTGCCGTTGGTTCACCCTCCAATGGCCGCCGTGGCCGGCACGCTGCGGCGGGCACACCGCGCTGATCTGAAGGCAGGAGCCAGGTGCTTCTCCTGGTCTCCCATGGGGTGCAGGGCCCAAGCACTTGGGCCATCCTCCACTGCACTCCCTGGCCACAGCAGAGAGCTGGCCTGGAAGAGGGGCAACCAGGACAGAATCCGGCGCCCCGACCGGGACTAGAACCCGGTGTGCCGGTGCCGCAAGGCGGAGGATTAGCCTAGTGATCCGCGGCGCCGGCCTATACTTTCTAAAATGTAAAATTAGCAGGGACAGGCATCTGGTATGATGGTGGAAATGCCACTTGGGGATGCCCGCACCCTAGGTCTGAATGCTTGGGTTCAGATCCCAGTTCCAGTTCTAATTCCAGCTTCCAGCTAATATACACCCTGTAGAGAAAATGATGGTTCAAGTGGTTGGGTCTAAGACCCAGACGGGGTTCCACATTCCTGGCTTTGACTTAGGATGGTCCTGGCTGTTGTGGCCATTTGGGGAGTGACCTAGATGATTTAAGACCTCTCTTTCTGTCTCTGTTCTCTGCCTTTCAAAGAAACTAAAAAGCAGCCTCTGAAGAAATTAAATAATGAATGAAAAGAATCAAGAATGGATGCTCAATCTTAATTATGGTCACCACTATATTCCTAAAGCTGTACCTATGAAATTTGTATTCATCAAATAAAAGCTTTCTTTAAAAAAATAAATGTTAACTATTAAGCTCTCTCTCTATATATACATATATATAATTATGAAAACAGAAATTCTAGTCAATAACCAAATCAGTGTCAAAATTATAATAGTACTGAGCCTATCAAGGAAGTCTCAGAGTCTTTCATCTCAATTTAAGATGATTTTTTTTGCATGAAGAAACAAGGCAGTGTCACATATCTATAGGACTCTGGGGGTGAAGCTTTAATTAATATTTAAATTTTACATAGTTAAAATTGAGGTTTAAAAAACTAGTTTAAAAATTCCATTTATATGAGGTACGTGGAACAGTCAAACTATCTTTCATAGATACACAAATAGAACAGTGGTGGCTAGGGGCTGGAGGACTGTGAATGGGGACTTACTGTTTAACAAGTACAGCATTTCAGTTTGGAAGATGAAAAAGTTTTGGAGTTGGATGGTGGTGATAATTGCACAACATGGGTGTACTTAATACCTTTTTTTTTTTTTAATAGGCAGAGTGGACAGTGAGAGAGAGAGACAGAGAGAAAGGTCTTCCTTTGCCGTTGGTCCACCCTCCAATGGCCGCCATGGCTGGCGCGCTGCTCCGAAGGCAGGAGCCAGGTGCTTCTCCTGGTCTCCCACGGGGTGCAGGGCCCAAGTACTTGGGCCATCCTCCACTGCCTTCCCGGGCCACAGCAGAGAGCTGGCCTGGAAGAGGGGCAACCAGGACAGAATCTGGCGCCCCCGACTGGGACTAGAACCCGGTGTGCTGGTGCCGCTAGGCGGAGGATTAGCCTATTGAGCCACGGTGCCGGCCTATACCATTAAACTATACATTTTAAAATGGGTGAAACAGTAAATTCTATATGTGTATTTTATAACAATAAAATATTAAATAGTAAAATCTCAGTATATCTCATTGTCAAAATTGTCCTTGCATTGTCAAATTTGTCAAAATTGGCTTTGCACTGTCCCAGCTTCAGCTGTTGCGGCCTCTTGGGCAGTGAACCAACAGGTAGAACTGTAACTCTGTAACTCTGCCTTTCAAATAAATACATTTTTTATAGGAAAACAGTAGCACTGTACAGTGAAAGACCAAAGCAAAACAGGAGAAAAGGAGATCAGCTCACGGACTATTCCACCCACGAAGTTAGGAGGTAACAGAAGCCTGCACAGCAGTTCAGTGGTGAGAATGGAAGGAAGGCGATTAATGGGAGCTATTTAGGAAACACTCTTGAGAACTCTTAATTAACTAGACATGGGAGGCAAAAAAAGAAACATCAATTAATGGTTTCTGGATTGGGCAAGTGGGTGTAGGATCCACCATTCACTGAGCTACAGCAGAAAGATTTCTTAAACACTTATCCTTGGGAACATGTGCAGATCTACAGATTTTAAAAAAAAAGATTTATTTATTTATTTGAAAGGCAGAGTTGTATATAGAGAAAGGGAAGGGAAAAACAGATATTCCATCTGCTGGTTTACTTCAAAAATAACCACAACAGCCAGGGCTGGGCCAGGCCAAAGCCAAGAGCCAAGAGCTTCTTCCAGGTCTCCCACATGTGTGGCAGAAGCCCAAGCACTTGGTCCATCTTTCACTGGTTTCCCAGACCATCAGCAGGGAACTGGATCAGAAGTGGAGTAGCCAGGAGAAGAACTGGAGCCCTTATGGGATGCTAGCATGGCAGCCAGTGGCTTAATTCACTACACCGCAACACCGGCCCCCCAGGGCAGATTTTTTTTTTAAATGTCTGCCTGTAATTCAAATTAATGCATCTACCTATAATTCAACACTGCTTTAGCAAATTTCTTTAAACTTTTCTAATTATCCAAAAAAAGGAAGAGATACAGGCATTACCTTTTCCCTCAAGCATAAAGGTACAAAAACAATAAACCATTCATCCATTTTTAATAGCCTCAGGGTTGTTCAATGGCAGAGGATCATTACTGAAAATCACTACTACTAAGGAAAGGAAGCTGGAACCCAATTTTATAGCTCAAAATCTTACCCATTAACCAACTAAGCATTCTTAATCCACTAAACCAAGGTTTTTTGAGTTTAGGAAAAGCATTTATATTTAGTGAAACTAATATCTAACACACATACATATAAATCAGAGGGAGAGAGAAAAGGATAAGTGGGTAAAAAATGAGTTACATATTCTACCTTACTACATAGGAAATTACCAACTGTTTCTATTTCTATGTTGATACCATACCTTACTCTAAGTACAGTGAATGAGCCATCCTTCATTCCAAGAGCAAGATGGATTCCATCTACATTTACAGCTGCACAACGAATTGGTTCTTCCATATTACACCTTGCTATTAATGCATGATCTACTAGGCTCCAAATCCTATAACATTTAATTTAAAAAATAAAAAAGAATAATTAACTGGTGCATACTTTTAAGAAATTATGACAGACTATGAACAGATTTTAGTAGAAAAAATAGTTAAGATAAATTTAAATTTAAATATTTTATTTATTTGAAAGGCAGAGTAACAGAGAGAAAGATGGAGGAATAGCCAAAGGGAGAAAAGGAGGGAAGAGAGATCTTCCATCTGCTGGTTCACTCCCCAAATGGTACAACAGTTGGGGCTGGACCACATAGAATCCACGAGCCAGGAATTCCATCTGGGTCTCCCATGTGGGTACCATGGACATAAGTACTTAAGCCATCATCCACTGCTTCCCAGGCACATTAGCAGAGAGCAGGACAGGAAGTGGACCAGCTAGAACACAAATTGGTACACTAATACAGAATGTAGGTATTCAAGTGGTGGTTTAACCCACTTTGCCACAACTCCTGCTGCTAAATGACCTGCTTTGTGATAACAAATGCTTACCTATGAAAATATGAATACTGTTCAAGCTGAAAATGGCAGATTGATAGAATCTTTTGTTTTCAAAACAAAATAATGACATTGATTTCACTCATTTTAGGTAGAGTCCCTTTCCAAAAAGGAAATTAGCATGTGTATAGTCTTTAAATTCATGTAGTCCTTTCAGTTTACACATAATATGTGACACTCAAAACTAATCAAATTTGGAATCTGTTCCAGACTACAATGCTAGAAATCTGCGAGAAAAAGATAACCAGAAAATATCCACTGCTTGAAAATGAAGCATTATACTTTCAAATAACCTAAAGGACAAAGACAAAATCCTAATGAAAGCAAGTCATAACAAAACTGCTTCACATCAAAATTTGTTGGCTATAGCTGAAACTAAGAAGAATGTTTAGGAATTTTAAATGCATACATTATAATGAACACTACAATTTAATGAATAGGCATCTACTTCACGTGGTTAGAAAAGATCAATGAAACAAAGATTTTTTTTTTTTTTGTCAAGACCATAGGCGAAAATTTTCAAAGTTATTGCATTGGCTCAACTGCAAGTCATGAATTCCTGAGCAAACTCTCAGAAGTAATAAAGGAGCAGAAGCTTTAACAAATCAAATGAGAAAACTCATCATTAATTACTAAAGGTAGTGGATTTGGGTTTCCATGGAGTGCTACTCACTTTTTATTTCTTTACTTGGAAAAAATAATCCAATGAGAAAAAAAGAAAAACATGTATATATCTTGTCTCTGTACATACTTTTTGTTTTTTTTTTTTTTAAGTAAGGAAAAAAGTACTTTTTAATTCAATAAAAGTAAACCTGAAGTTTAATTTATATTTTTTGAGAAAATTAACTTTGAAGAAGAACTCAATAATGGTACGTCTTTTGTGAGCACTTGGACATTACTATAGCTTATGAGACATAGAAAATATCCTCCACTTAACATATTAAAACGAGGCAAATCTTTGTGAACAAGTGTTACTATTAACTCTCACAATCCAACTTTTTGAGGACAGAAGTCCTGCATGGGAAGTTAGTGCACAGTGACTCCTGTTGTTAATTTAACAATTAACACTCTTATGTATGACGTCAGTGATCACCCGAGGCTCTTGACATGAGCTGCCAAGGATATGGAATCCACAAACTCCTTCAGTATTTAGACAAGGCCATATGTAAAGTGGAAGTTTTCTCTTCCCTTCAGAGAAAAATACATCCTTCACAAATTAGATTTTCTTAACGTTTTTATAGCAGTGTTCTTTTTTACAGATCACTTTTAAAAGTTTAATGGAAAAATGAATTTTGTATATTGATTTCATAGCCAGGAAAGTGCATATTCTCTTTTCAATGCCAATGATGTAACTGTATTTTCTTACATATATAATTATATCATCTGCAAATGACAGTTGTTTCTTTCTTTCCAACCCTCCTCTCTCTCTTCCTCCATATATCTGCATCTTTTGATCTTACTGTGTTCACAAAGAATGCTACTTGGGAGCTGAAGAGAATGCCCAAAGTGAGCATCATTTCTTCATTTCGAAGGAAAGCTTCTAGAGTTTGAACATTAAATACTATACTCACTGAAGACTTTCTATGCTCTGCCAGAGGGGTTAGCAAACCATGGCCTGTCAGCCTAACCAGGCCTACTGCTTCTTTTTGTATAGTCTGAGACCTAAGAATGGTTTTTACATTCCTTAATGGATGAATAAAAATTCAAATTTCAGTGTCTATAAATAAAATCTTACAGGAACAGCATATTTGCGTGCTTATGTATTATCTCTGAATCACTCCAGAGATGGTACAAGAGATCACACATGACGCATCATTTTGCACTGATTCTCAGTGCACTACCAAGTATAGTGACACAGTTATAACCTGATAGAATGTCCTGTTATGTGTCTTACTACATGGTGACATTTTATTACTTATTGCCAGTGCAAACCCATTATGTTGAAACAGAAGAAAACTAGGAAAGCAAACTTACAATGCTACATTTTTAAGGCATAGCGGAAAACAAATTATACTGTTATTGAATGGATGGCAAAGCATTGTATCTATCGTGCAATGACACTATAGCTGTGGTCAAATACAAATACACATTAACATCGTTGTTCATCACAGTATTTCCAATCACAGGAAAGCAATGATCAAAAAATTAGAATATTTAAGACAGAACATTTCATCATAGAATTTCTTCACATATCAAAACACAATAATGATACTGCAACAAAAGTAAATTTCTGAGTGACTCATTTGCTAACCAAGCCAACGAGAGCTATTTATTAATGGCAAATTAACTCAGTCATCCTGGATTGCAGCACTGTGGACATTTGTCCCAGTAGACATATGACAATTAGCCTTTCAGTGAGAACAGCTGCTCCAAGAGTTGAGATTATTGGGAACACCACCAATTATAAATTAAAAAATAATTTTGAGTGATTTTTTTTTTGAATCTTGATAAGTGAACAGATGCTGCTGTGTTACTCAGTTGTTTACTTGAGGAGTCCAGCTAAGTTTGAAGTGACTGAAGAAGTTGTCTCCATGAAGCCTGTGTAGAACATGTTCCATTAGCTGCTGCATGTACACTTACTGCTGCTCCATGAGCCTTTCTTCTTTCTATAGATCCTCCACTGCAAAATTCCCTCCAACTGTCCCCTAGGAGCACAGTTCCTCTCCTGTTCTTCTAGTATCTCCCTCAGGTTGAAATCAACACGTCTTTTCTCTATTCAGCCATCTTGGAGGTATCTAAGTCTTCTATACCATTCCATCTTTTCATACATTCAGGAACTCCTTAGACACATTTGGTTGGTTGATGGTATCCCATAAAACTTGAACACTGTTTTTGGTTTTTCTAATTTTTTTTCTTGAGATATTCCCAAAGATTTTTCTTCTAGCTCATCTATTCTTTCTTCTCTCACTGAGTTTGTTTTTACGACTTTCCACTGCATTTTTAATCTGACATACTGAAGTCTTCATTTCTAATATTTTATTTAATACCTCTATCTCCAGGCAGATTTTTGGCCATGTCATGTATGGATTTCTTTAGCTCATATATTTGCTATTTTGTGTTTTTGAGTAATTTTTTTTTTTTGACAGGCAGAGTGGACAGTGAGAGAGAGACAGAGAGAAAGGTCTTCCTTTTGCCGTTGGTTCACCCTCCAATGGCCGCCATGGCTGGCGCGCTGCGGCTGGCGTACCGCGCTGTTCTGAAGGCAGGAGCCAGGTGCTTCTCCTGGTCTCCCATGGGGTGCAGGGCCCTAACACTTGGGCCATCCTCCACTGCACTCCTGGGCCATAGCAGAGAGCTGGCCTGGAAGAGGGGCAACCAGGACAGAATCCGGCACCCTGACCGGGACTAGAACCCGGTGTGCCGGCGCCGCTAGGTGGAAGATTAGCCTATTGAGCCACGGCGCCAGCCTTTGAGTAATCTTATGATCATTCTTTTGGATTATCAGGCACTTCATCAATCTCTTCATCTTCACATTCTAATATTGAAGTGTTCTATTCCTTTTGGGAGTTCCATTGTCTTCCTTGTTCATGTTTTTTTAAAAAATATTTATTTGAAAGGCAGAGTTATAGACAGAGACAGAGAGACAGAGACAGAGACAGAGAGAGAGAGAGAGAAGTCGGTCTTCCAACCAGTGCTTCATTCCCTCAAATGGCTGCAGCAGCCAGAGCTGGGCTGATGCGAAGCCAAGAGCCAGGAGCTTCTTCCAGTTCTTCCACGTGGGTGCTGGGGCCCAAGGACTTGGGTCATCTTCTATTACTTTCCCAGGCCATAGCAGAGAGCTGGATCAGAAGTGGAGCATATGGGATGCTGGCACTGCAGAAGGCGGCTTTACCTGCTACACCACAGCACCAGCCCCTCATGTTTCTTTTATTTCTACAATTATTTTTATGCATCTGTGAAAACACTTGTTGGTTTCTCCTCTGAGAGCTTTGCTCCTTGATGAGCTTCTGTGGTTTAATGGAACGCCTGCACCTTCAGTGAATATCCTGAGGTGCGGGTTGGATGGGGCTAGGAAGCTCTGGCCAGTGCTCAAGGGCATAGCAAGAATCCAGAATGACACCCAAGTTGAGTGTGGTAGATCTCCTCTATCATCAGCAGAGGGTAGGGTCTGATTGTACCTGTGTTTCACAGCTCCAGTGTGTGCTCTCTGCTGTGTGCCAAGGTGAATCAACTGGCCAGGATGAGTCCACAGTGCCAGTGCACTCCACCCACTCAGGTATAAAACTGCACAAAGAAGCCATATGCTCCTAAGTTGAGTGTGGAGCCCTCCATGATGATCCTCCCCAGCACTCAGAGAATTCTGAGCTTCTGGAGAGGGATCTAGTAATTGCCCAAAGACCAGCAACACCCCACACCCTATCACACAGTCACAGCATTCACAGTCACAGGGAGCAGGGCATCCACTTGTTGCCCTGTGAACCTCTCTGGCCACGGAGACAGCCACCCCATTCCTGGAGCCAGTCACTAGCCCAACAGAGGTCAGTCAGTGCTTTGCCTTGGC